TTTAGGGTTTAGGGTTCCTTAACAGCAACCCAGGATCAACCGCTTGGGGGCCATGCTTGGCAACACCACTGCGGTCCGGCAGGTCTTTGCACCTGGGCTCCTGTACCACAGGGGGTACGCTCCCCCTATAATTCATGGAGAATCAAATGTAAAGAACATGGAAACTACTATTTAGGGTTTAGGGTTTAGGGGATATGGGTACCACTGGGGATATATTGGGATAATGGAAAAGAAAATGGAAACTATAGGGATTATGGGGTTTATATAGGGATTATAGGGTATGTACCCCCGGGCTCCTCCAAAAGTCCTTAGAGTGGGGGCCAATCCAGAACGGATATGGGATTTAGGATTCAGAGCTATACGCAACGTTCAGCTTTTGAATCAGCTGGCCAACTAGTAAAAATGAGCGAAGCCACACCCATCCCGGTGTGGTAGCAACCCGAAGCACCAAACCTTAGGTTAGCAGGGATTAAGCACATATATTCCCTACATAATTGGGTTAGGGTTTCTGGTTGGTAGGGAATACTGAATATAAGCTCTACATAATCCCTATGTAATATATTCCCTTATTCCCTGTCAAGCCCCAGTAAGTAAGCTTCAGGTACGGCAGTACACGAAATTTCTCAAGCTGTTCTACCACAGGGCCTATGTCTGGCAGTTCATCGATGCAAATGGCGAAATCGACTCTAGGTTGGCCTGCGGGATAGTTGGAGTTTTCCCAAGACTTGTCTTTGCTTTTGGGATGAAACTTGGACCTGCCTAAACCCTAAACCCTAAACCCTTTCTGGAGAAAAATGAGGAAGCCGGACTGTTGATACATCAGCCGATGGATTAGTGATAGGGTTTCCCTAGCTGTGCTGAGGGGAACAGAACAGGAGATGTTGATGGATGTTGATGGATCTTTCAGTCTGACCTCCCAAGCCCTGAAGCCCCAAAGCCCACAACCCTAAGCAATGAAACCCTAAATCCAGGAGGTGGAGATTTAGGGGTTTAAGGGTGTAGGGGTTTTGGGGTTTCGGGTTTAGGGCAACTAAGGATGCCTTCTTCGAAGCAAGGGAGGGTGTGCGGGACATCATCGGCAACTATGAGGAGCTCCTACGGCAGTGTGCCCAAGAGGAGAATACGAGGTATGGGGGCAGCAACGCCTGCGTAGAGGGTAAGACCAATCTTCTTGAGGCAGATGGTAGGGCTTCTTGAGCTAGTAGTCAGACACATAGTAACAATAGTCATAATGATAGTAAAAATCAGAATAATAAAAATGATCATTATAATAGTCGTACTACTCAATAGTACGAATACCCATCGCCATCATGCTAATAGTGGTAGGGCTTCTTCAGCTCTCCTGGTTCCCTTGCCTTAGTCAGTAATATGACTGGGTTTAGATGTACCTTACGCGTTTCACTGACCCCAGAATTATCGGATTCGCCGGGAAAAATGTGGCATGGATTCAGAGTGAGCATCCGACATGGGACTTGGCCAAACTCCTGAGCTTCCTTCTCGGTCCTGGTTGTGCCCGAACACAGTAAACCCTAAACCCTAAACCCTAAACCCTAAAACCCTAAACCCTAAACCCTAAACAGTATTTGGGTCTTATGGAGGGGAGCCAGAGCTTTCAAAAGTTGAAAGTGCATTAAGGATGTCTCTGCAAATCCCCAGATGGACACCTAGAACCTCCTGATAGTTCCCTCATATCCCTGGGATCACTTAGAGCCTTTATTTTGAGGACCCCCCCAAAAAATACAACAAACAAGGAACAACTTCAAGCAAGGACCCGCATCTTGAGAAACTCCCAACCGGCCTTAGCGGCTGCTGGGTTTGGAGCTTGGGAACTGCAGATTGCGAGGAAGGAGTCAACTTCTAGCTTGGGATGAACACGGATCCCCTCGAGGATCCCAAGGATGTAATGTATACCCCCGAAAGAAGTAAGATAGGGACTCCCTTGAGATACTCCCCATGTGTCCGCTGCCACTTTTGCTCGCGACCAAGAGGTCAATGGCTCACGTGAAGCTTGAGGTTAAGCAGACACAGCGAGTGTCCGGAAAGTTTCAAAGACGCTGATGGCTTCCAAGGAGGATGCAAAAGAGCTGGATCGCAAGGAGGTGACCCTGCTGCAGAATTGAGCTAGGTCATCTACCTCCTTCAGATGAGCGTGTATTTCATGCACGGGCCAATCCTTCTTGTGAATTTTTCCGTTGGCAACAGTGTGCATTCATGGGTATCATCACGCATATGCCCGCAGACTATGGACATCCTGTACGAGATCTCCACACTTCTGAACACCGGCTTGAACAAGGATCTTGGGGCTTCGTCCCACTGAGTTGTCAGGGTTGATGCGGTGCTTTAGGGATCATACTCCGACGTATTCGTGGTTCCTTTGGGGCTAACTAGAGGCAACCAAATGCTCGGACTTCGGCAGGTAAGGTTTGGGTTATAGGGATTATATGGGGTTATATAGGGATTATAGGGTATATGTTAGGTATATATTGGGGTTATATTGGGATACTGAAAAGAAAATGGAAACTACTGTAAGGTTTGGGTTTTCCCGTTGTGGCGGCTTGCCCCAGCAGGCTTCAAAATCTAGCAGGTGCTGATGTGCCACGACTGTCGTCATTCACATTCTTTTTGGGAGCTGAAGCAGGCATCACATTTAGTGCTAACCAACTTCACATCCCGAAGCCCCATTGACGCTTCATCTTCAATCCTGAGGCCCCATTGATCCCGCATCCCAACACTAAACCCTAAACCCGAAACCCTAAACCCCAATAATCTGAGGTCTTAACCATGGACCCCTAATATGGGAAAATGGAAACTATTGCAATGGGTTATATAGGGTATATTGGGATTATATTGGGTTACATAGGGATAATGGAAAAGAAAATGGAAACTATTACAATGGGTTATATATGGTATAGCCCCTACCTACCTGCTGCCTGGGTCCTACCTACAGGCCCTTGGTTGGGTTTCCATGTTCTTGTTAGGTAACCCCTCGAAGGAGTCGCTGGAAGCCCTGGTGGGCCTCTGCGAACTCGGCGTGAATCCCGAGGCATCTTTCCCAGAACGGTACCCTAAACCCCAAACCCTAAACCCTAATCTTTCCCAGAACGGTCCAGGGAGCCCAATATCCCTCAACTAAGGAACAGATCTTGAATTCTATTCGGGATCCGAAGCCTAAACCCTAAACCCCATTGCCTAATTGAGGTGTATTTGACTTGCTCGAAGTCTGAGGGTCTTGTTTGTTGCGGATTGGTGCGGGTTTGCGGTTTGGGATTTAGGGTTTGGGAGTTTTGTAGTTTCTGTGGTGATTTTGTGGGTTGTTGTTTGAGGCGTGGGCTTTTGGAAGAATTCTGATAGTTTGTGGGTTGCCTCAGGCTTTTGCAACATACCTCGGGTGTTCATAAGGGCAATAAGGACGATAAAGAGTCTACAGGTCATGATATATGTTTAGTATAACCTACGATAATATACTAAAATATTTTACTATATTGGGTTCTGCGAGGCATCACTCATGGCAGCGTCGGGGCTGCTGCAGCGATCGTACAGATACTGCTACTGGAGCTTTACACAGATCATGCGCTCATGAAAAGTGGATCCATAATTTTGCTATAATGGTGTTGCAAGTCCACGATGTACACAGTCATGATTGGCGTTCAGAGTTCCAGGTTCATGATATGGCGGGTTCCTGGTTCAGCGACAGGGGTCTTTTGAGTATGTGCAGGTAGGGAATGCTCTTCCCTACATATGCAGATCCATCACCCAGAGGCTGTAAAAAAGCACCCACAGTTGGAGAAACTCCTGTGAAATGCTTGTCTCCTGAATGCATGAACAGGCGCTGGCAGCTGCAGCTACTCGATTGCATCTGGCAAATCTATTGTGGAAAGAGTCTTGCTCAGGGTTCCAAAGCCAACCTGCATGACGAACTTCCCAGGATGTACAAATCCAATTTCTCAACAGCTGCTGCTTCAAAAACATCTTTTCAATCGAGTTTTTTTGTCTCAATCAATTTTCCAGGGTACGGAAGACTTTTTTACTAACCCCTCAGATGCGGAAACCCTAAACCTAAAGCCAAACCTTTCTCAAACCATGTACCCCAATATACTATTGAGTTACTATTGTAGTTTCCACTTTCTTTTCCACTATAAAATCTAGCACCAATACATAATATTATGTTACACTTCATATTGTAGTATAATATACTAGACTAGATTCTACTATGCATTATATACTGTAGTTTCCATTTTATTTTCCACTGTTGCCGGCTCCCAGTACCAGCTCGTGACGTTTATTGCGACTCCCGAACTGCCCGAGACACCTGAAGTCCTGCAAGCCCCAGGTCTGTGTATAATATAGCATAATATAACAGTATACTATAGTGTAATATAATAGTATAGTCCAGTATAATATAGTATACTTATAGCATAGTATAGTATAGGTGTAAAGGTCTCTAAGAAGGACCAACTTGAGCGGCATCAGTCTTAGTCCTAGTTCACTCCCAACCTGTTACAGCGAATTCAACTCATACCTATCTGGCCCATATGC